TCTGCTCCCGTAAAGATTTACAGCCTCAGACACCCTGTGTGGGGTCACTGTGAGTCAGAACCGGCTCCACGGTACTTAACAACAACATTAAAACCAAAACCAAACCTGTTCAGTCAAGTCGATTCCAACGCATAGCAACCCCATAGGACAGAATAGAACTGCACCAAAGGGTTTCAGGGGTTGTAAATCGTTACTGAAGTAAACTGCCTCATCTTTCTCCCTTGTGGGTTCAAACCATCAATTTTTTAGTTATCCGTTAACATGTAACCCACTGCACCACCAGGGTTCGTTATCCATGGTAATTGTTGTTGTTAAGTAGTGTTGAGTGGGTTCCAACGCACAGTGATTCTGCATAGGATTTCTAAGGAGCAGCTGGTGAATTTGAACTGCCAACCTTGTGGTTTGTAGTCCAGTGCTGTACCACAGTGCCACTTCAGGAGTCCTTAGCCACAGTAATTAGGATGATAAAATTACTTAGCAATGGTGCTGGAATGGGTTTTTGGAAAATCTTCAAACACTTGAGGCTTTAGCATTTTTTTTTTTCCTTTTTATTTATAGAAATAATACTTGTTTTAGAAAATACAAGGAAGTACAAAGCAGGAAAACAAGTTTCCTGAAATCCTGTCAACTAGGTATACTGATACTGTCATTGTTAAGTGCCATCAAGTTGAGTTTAACTCATAGCAACCCTGAGGAGCAGCTGGTAGGTTTGAACCACCTACATTGAGGTTAGCAGCCAGTGCTTATCTTATAGTGCCACATCGGGCATCAGGTATACTGATGTTGTTGTTAAGTGTCACCAAGTCACTATGACCCATAGCAAACCCTATATAGGGGTTCGGAGTTGCTGCTGGTGAACTTGAACTGCTGACCCTGCAGATCAAACTGACTTTGCAGTCCAGCGCATTAACTCACAGTGCCACACCAAGATTTTATATATTAAGAATTTTTTTTCTGGGCCATTTAAATATTCTTACAAATTATGGTTTTAATAACTATACAAAAGTGTGTCATCTGGATGTAGTACATTCATTTGAACAAGTAGTACATTAACTTTTGTGCAGTTTTAATTATTTGCATAAGGCAAATATTAGCATGTGATATTATAACATTAAGTAGTAAGAACATTTAGAAATTATGTACCTTTTTATACAAATACAGGTATTTGTATTATCTTTTTTTAATTCTTACCTTATTTGATGGGTAATAATAGACATTGTTTTCTAATACAAATTTCCTAAATTAATTATACTCATAAGGCTGAACATTTTGGAATCTTGTGGCTCATTTTAGGGAACCTTGGTAGCATAATGGATTATGAGCTGGGCTGCTAACTTCAAGGTCAGCAGTTCAAATCCACTAGTCACTCTTTAGGAGAAAGATGAGGCTTTCTGCTCCCATAAAGATTTACAGTCTCGGAAACCCTATATAGGGTCTCTATGAGTCAGAACCGACTCCACGGCACACGATCACCACCACCACCATCATGACCCATTTAAAATTTCTGTCATGAATTTGCTATTCATTGTGCTCATTTTTTAATGTGTTATCTTTGATTTTGTTATTGCTTTGCTCTTTATAGATTAAGATATTAACTTCAGTATATACTTGTTGTAAAATGTTTTCCCAATTTGTGTTTAATCTTTTGGTTTTATTTATGTTTCCACCTGTAGAAAAGTGTACTGTTTATGAAGTAGAATTAATCTATTTCCTTTAGCATGACTCTTTTCCCTTTTTATTCATATAAAAGCTATTTTCACCTGTAGAAAAGACAATATGAAAAATTTGAAATTACTAAATTTGATTCTTCCTTTAAAGAAGGATATGTTGTTGTCTGTCATTAGTAGAACTTCCCCATCAGCTTCTCTAGGCTGTAATCTTTCAGGAAGGTGTCCCGGTGACATAGTGGGATGGTTACACACTGGACCACTAACCTAAAGTCAGCATTTTGAGTCTACCAACTGCTCCGCAGTGAAGTTTTCTGCCCTCATAAAGATGTACAGCCTCGGAAACCCTAAATAGATTCCTAAGAGTCGCAACCGACTCAACAATACATAACCTCCACTACCACCCAGGAAGGAGCAAATCACCAGGTCTTTTTCCCAAGGAGCAGCTGGGTAGGGTCAAACAGTAGTCTTTCTGTTCGCAGCTTACCATTTAACTCTAGCGATACCAGGGCTCCTTAAAGAAAGATATGCATGCAGTTGTTGTTGAAGTCATTGTGTTGGTTCCAACTCATAGTGATCCTATATTTCTAAGGCTCTGCTAGTGGTTTTGAACCACCGACATTGTGGTTAGCAGTCCAGTACTTAACCTACAGTGCCACACCAGAACTCCACACATAGAGTATTAGAGTGTAAAAACCTATTGGAAGTTTGAAAGCATGTTTGTTTCTATCTACACTGTTAAGTCCCAGTGTTGTACAATGCTTGGCATAGAGTAAACATTAAATCAATTTTTGTGGGATGAATTTTTTATTCTTATTAAGTAATACTTACCAGATGTGTTTCTCTGGGGAAAAAAAAAAAAAAAGCTGGTCTTCAAGATGCTTGTCAGAAAAGAATTTCATATCAGATAAGCTGGAAAATTCTACAAAATGTATGCCCTCTACATTTTCACCTCCACATTACCCTATTGAAACCAAACCAAATCAGTTGCAATGGAACTGATTCTATCTAATTCGTGGTGGCCAGTGTCAGAGTAGAACTGTGTTCTGTAGAGTTTTCAGTGGCTGCTGTTTTTCTGAAGTAGATCCCTAGGCCTTTCTTTGAGGTGTCTCTGGTGGACTCAGACTTACAGCTTTTTCTTAGCAGCTGAGCGTATTACCCATTTCCATCACCCAGGGACTTGAGAATTCTCGACAGAAAAACCAAACTGTCAACTTGCTTTAAAACTAGTAATTTCATACTTTTCTTTTTTAACCTTGGAATTTCTTTTTTCTCACATTAAACTTTTATTTAAGAAGCCCTAGTGGTACTGGTGTGGTGCTGTAGGATTAAGCACTGGATGGTTAAGTGCAAAGTCAGTGGTTCAAACCCACTAGCCACCTCTTCAGAAACCCTAATAGAGTTGCTATGAATTGGAACTTCCTTGATAGCACTTGATAACACCAGTGTTGCTGTGAACTAAGCACTGGACTGTTATGCTAACCTCAAGGTCAGAGGTTCAATCGCACTCGAAAGAAAGATGAAGCTGTCTGCTCCCATAAAGATTTACAGTCTTTATGAAACCTATGGAGCAGCTGTACTCTACCTTGTCTAGGGTTGCTATGAATCAACTCACTACCAATAGGTTTGGTTTGTTTTGCACTTTTAAGTTCCCTTGAAACCAGTGAAGTGCTGACCACACTTTGATTAATACCGATAATGCCAACTTGCCCTTTAATGTGGTGCAAATTTGCCCTATTTGCTACAAATTCTTCAAAACAATCACCTATACTTGCTGCACGTGTAGCTTTTAAATCTTAGAGCCTTTTCTTGCAATAAAGTAAGGCTAAATAATAACAGTATGCTCCTATTTCGATTTCCCTACAAATTCTGAAAGGTACAGGAATGCCTCATTAGTAAGCTAGGGACTACCTGCACAGAACTGAGCCATGTGTGCAGAGGTGAAGGGAAACAGAATCTGTGGTTGTCAGCCTCTGTTGAAATGATGCCTTTAACATCTATCTGATCACTACTGTTGTTGTTTTGTTTTTTCTTCCTTTTCCCTTTCTGCCAGGGTTCTAGCCTATTCAACTAGCCCAGCGATGGCTGTGGACATAGAGTGCAGATACAACAGCATGGCCCCTTCCTTGAGCAGAGAGAGATTCGCCTTCAAGATCTCGCCCAAACCCAGCAAACCTCTGAGGCCCTGTCTTCAACTGAGCAGCAAGAATGAAGCCAATGGGATTGTGGCCCCAACCGTGCAGGAGAAAAAGGTGAAAAAGCGGGTGTCCTTTGCTGACAACCAAGGGCTGGCCCTGACAATGGTCAAAGTGTTCTCAGAATTTGATGACCCATTAGATATTCCATTTAACATCACTGAGCTCCTAGACAATATTGTGAGTTTGACGACAGCGGAGAGTGAGAGCTTTGTTCTGGATTTCTCACAGCCCTCTGCAGATTACTTAGACTTTCGAAATCGACTTCAGACCAACCACGTGTGCCTTGAAAACTGTGTGCTGAAGGACAAAGCCATTACAGGTACAGTGAAGGTGCAGAACCTCGCCTTTGAGAAGATTGTGAAAATAAGAATGACCTTCAACACTTGGAAAAGCTTCACAGACTTTCCTTGTGGGTATGTGAAGGACACCTATACTGGTTCAGACAAGGACACGTTCTCCTTTGACATTCGCTTACCTGAAAAAATCCAGTCTTATGAAAGAATGGAGTTCGCGGTGTGCTATGAGTGCAGTGGACAGACATACTGGGACAGCAACAAAGGCAAAAATTACAGGATCATCCGGGCTGAATTAAAATCTACTCAGGGGACCGTCAAGTCACAAAATGGACCAGATTTTGGAATAGCCTTTGACCAGTTTGGAAGCCCTCGGTGTTCCTATGGTCTGTTCCCAGAGTGGCCTAGTTACTTAGGATATGAAAAGCTAGGGCCCTACTATTAATGACTGACACGGGATAGAGCGTGGCTGAGCCAGAGCACAGACAAGCCTGACTCGGGTCACAGTGGGATGTTGACGGAAGCCAAGAAAGGAATCCATTTGAACTGCCATTAGGTGCAAGTTTTAGAAGAAAGGATCCTATTCACTTTTTTTCTTAAGCCAGCAAATCCTGTCAGGTTGATATCACAGAACTGGTTTCATAGTCATTCCCTCAGCAGGTACCCTGGAGGGTATATGTGGTATGCTGGGCTGAGTGGTTACCATGGCAGCCACAAGGTGAGGTGTGGGTGATGCCAAAAGGATCTGCTTGGGAACCAGATTTAAAGAGTACTGATAGTCTTTCAGGATGGGGCCTGATGGAAGCCACCAAGGCATATGGCTGGGGTCCTGGGGGCCCCACTCTTCTCAACTGGGATGTGGAAAGTCATCTGCAACTGTTACTCCCAGCCATCTCACCTTGGATCCTCATCTTTGGATATTCTCCAACCAGCCAGGCTTTTCCTGTGTGTTGCTGCTTCTGTTCCACACCTACACACACACTTCATGCTTTATCTCTGTGTGGGTATACGTTGGTCTGATAGTGCACATTTCTAATACAGCTATGGAAAAGAGACGAGATCGGCTCCTTTCTTTTTTCTTCTGGCTGTCACATGATTCGCAAGTTCATTTTTTGGGGTTTTTTTACACAGTTCATCTGACGTTCAGGAAAACATCATAAAAGCAAAAGAGCTTGTGACCGACAGGCATTTCCTCCTCTCTCTTCCTGGGCTCTAGTGAGAAAAGCACTCAGTTATCTAGTGACTGGTCGCTGGACAGTGTTACTGATTGCGGGGCTGTGACAAGGCAGGACAGTCACGAGTGGGACCGTTTTAGCTAGCTTTTCCTCTTGGCTTTTAAGGGAGCTCTCTTTAAGTACTCCCTTTTCACCTTGAGTCACCAGACGGTTCATTGACACTTGTTTGGCTGGTTCACAAGTGTCTCGTTCTTTACAAAATAATTTTCAATCTCCTTTTCTGGAGAGTCATCTTTTATACTATGTTCAGAACATTTTGAGTTGCAGATCCAACCGATTCACAAAGCCTTCAGAAAATATTTGGTTTTATTTTGGATGTGATTTTGCAATACAATATCCGAAACACTTTACAAGCACCCAGGGACTTTGATTTGGGTGTTCTTATTTATGGTGTGTGAGTATGTAAAGAAAGAGAGAAGAAAACCTAACCACATTCTCATATTCTATTTTAAGTATTTATCAACTCTGACATACCAGAAATTGATTGTTCTGAACTATATTGGACCTAGGGAATTAAAGTCTGTTGGCTAATGCTGTTGTTAAAGAAATTCTTGGGACATTCATTCTCAAATAAATTCCTGAAACCTGTGACTTTTCCTGGGTTGGAATGGTTTATATTTAGGAATATTTTGAAAATATCTTTACATGTAGACAGTTGGAGGGTTTTCTTTCTTTTCTATTTTTTTTTTTTTTTTCAGCTTTGTTAGATGACTGTCTCATTTTCTTCTTGCCTGCTCTTACTAAAGTGAATTTTCCTAAGGGAGGCAGGCAAGGGGGTGCACAGTTGTCTGCATGTGAGGGCCCAGCATTAAACTCACCAAGCAAAGAGTTCCTTCTCTTGACTTTGACTTCATAAATGTTAAAGGGCTTGGCGTCTGACATGTATGGAAATATGTTGGCTCTGAGAGTTTTATTGCTTTTTGTTTTGTTGTTCTTTTTTTTTTAACCTTAAAATGTTTTTAAATGCTGTAAGTGGTGTTCAATGTAATTCTTGTTCATAAAACTGGTTGTTACTAGTCTGCATTTTAGTGCTTTATCCCAGGTGGGTAGCACCATGGGATTATAAGGTAGTCATTTATGGGGAAGTCACATTTTTATCCTACACTGAAATTAAGTGGGGGTAGAGCTGTTAACCTCACATCAAGTACACAGACAGTACTTTTAGTGTTAGAAGTCTGGTGATCAGAATGAGGAATAGCATCATCATCCTAAATCAAAGGGAAGTTAAACTGAGTTTATATAGGTCATGAATTAATTTAAGATATACCCCCACCCCCACCCCATGCAAAAAAAGATACATGGTGCACTGTCATTCGTAGATAATCAGACTAAGGGTAACATGTCCTATGCTCATAAAAAAAAAAATAAAAAAATAAAAAAACCAATGCCTCAAGTGACTGTAGAATAACTCTTAATGACCCTAAGAAATTCCCATGTCAAAATTTGAAATACGATAATTCAGTGATAAGTATCACTTCTAAACCAGTCATAAACCTTCCCTCTATCCTTCCATGCTCCCAGCTCACCCCGGTTCTTTCGCTCGGGGCACTGGTTGCGAGCCCCCAGCCAGCACACCTGGGACACTCAACTACCAGGCAGTTCAGAAGACAAGTCCTTACCTGCTTGCCCAGACCCTCCTTGATTCAAGAATTGGTTTCCTTCTTTCCTCAGTGTGTCACTCTGAGATAGCAGTACAAGAAGAATTCTGTTCTTACTTTTCTGCTACTTCTTCCCACCATCACTGTAGTCCACCTTTGGTCCCAGTCTGGTCCCTGATACCCTCCACATGGCCCCAGACACTGCTTTGACAGTACCTCTCCTCATTCCATTGCTCAGTGTGTAGCTAACAGACTTCTTAGTTGGAGACTTCATTACAGCCTCTTTTGTAGCTTTGACTTTCTGATAGCTCCTGGTTATGGCCATAGATGTCCCCACTCCCACTCTCCTTCAACATTGCCCCAGAAGGGCCATCCACCTGTCACTAATATACTTGTTTAGGGTCGAGAAAGACCTCCATGTACACAGTTAATTCCCAGAATGCCCTGGGGAGCATTTGCAAATGGGGTACAATAAGCTAGACTATATATATATAT